TAAATTTGACTTTTCTGGGTACTTTTGCATTAAAGTAATTCAGACTGAATACATATTTATGAAATAAATGGAGGTAATTGGTTCAATGGCTATTAATTATTGCTCAAGATAGTTTCCTGTACCCGTACGTCATCAAGCAACTAATACTGCATCCTTTAAGAAAAGCTGAGTGCTGTTTCTAGTGGTAAATGTTACGTAACAAAATTGCTTTTATATGAATCTACTCACCCACATACAGTCCATTCTCCAGCCGCTTGATGATGTCAAAGGCGTTCTCAATGTTGCCCTCGAGAATTTCAAACCTGACGTCATAAGTATCTAAGTGGTACGATCCATAAGCCCGAACTGTTGTCCTCAGGAAAACTATTTCTGTTGGAGACAATGAAAGAAAAAAAAAATGCTTTGAAGACCTAAATCCTCATAAGGACTCAGGGATAGTTTTGTCAAACTTGTACCATATGATAGACTGAACGATTGCCAGGGTCTATGTTTGTTGTATACTAAGAGGGTCAAAGAGAGTTTGAAGCTTTTCAGTACCACTCCTCAACTAAAATGCTTTGAGTCCTTTACACCCCAATGTGGAGCTTATGAAAGATGACAGGAGCTTAATTTTCTGAGACCCTCTGCATGAGAGTGTCTGTGACAGGCACTGCATGCAGGCCAGTAGATGCTTGTCAGCTGTCACCGTCTGCAAATGATTACAGCGGTTAGTTCTATTAAGACAGCATGGCACTGACTCTAAGCTAAAGGGCAGCCAGAGTTAGTATTTACACCGGATAAGATGTAGTCATGGATTCTGAAAAGGCCCAGGAACCTATTTTAAACATAAACTGTTGAAGCAGATTATTCTCCTTTTTGGGAACTTGTGATTACTAACAACTGGTCAAATGGTTCTTTCAGGGATCCTCTAGTCTTCTTAATGTTATCATTGGGCTTCATAGTGGTGCAGTTTGTTGCACTGTTCCCTTACAACAACCTGACCTCATTTGTACGTCCTCTCCTGGTACTCTGACTCCTTCCACTGCTAAGCTAATGTGTTGAAGTTGCGCTTAGGTATGACTCCTGGACTGGTGACCTGTCCAGAAGTTACTTTGTCTTTTTACTTAAAGTCTGAGATTTAGGTGATTTCCTGGTTTAACAGCCTGGCAGTAATCAAGCCTGGGCGTGACCAGAGAAATGCAACCAAAAGACAAAGTTAATTATGGTTAATCTATTATTTAGAGATAGAGACCGAAAATGAAAAGTGTCTTCATATGTAACCCATTGTGTTAAACAATTAGACTGTTGGGTCACATTCTAATTGGACTGTATTATATAAATTGGTCAGTTTGCAGGGATCTGAGATCAAGTTGTTTATAAACTTCTTATACATAAAAAATAAAACTGACCTCATGATAGCAGACATGCTGCTAATTTCAGCTCAGCACAAAAGAAACAAATTCACTTTTTAATGGCAATGGTCTGTTGTTGTACTTCGCCTTTTGTGCCTTTTGCATTTTCTTGTGTTGGCTTTACCCAAGGGACCCAGCTCAAAAGAGAAAGGATGAGAATATAAAGAACATATACCTACCCTCTGGCCTTGTGAACTCTCTGAAGCTGGGTAAAGAGATGAAGGTGTGGGACAAGGAGACTATGGGGTCCAGAGCACAGGTGATGTCATTGGGCTGACATAATTTTATACAGCGGATGGTGTCAGAACGTTCAAGCCTCTGGGATCTATGAAAGAGAAAACAAAGAATACTCCAAAAAGTATCACAGACACTAAAGACCTCCAATGTTTAGGTGATTTCTATTTCCAGTTTTTAGAGTCAATTACTTTTGCCTTTTAAAGCTCAGAATTACAAGCCACTCTAAAGTGCTGCCCACTACATAATCAAGAACTCAGTGGGATTCCCTCAATGGCTGCTAAACAAACACTGTTTGTTCAAAACAGCTAGGGTGCTGGATATAGCACTCAGCATTAGCAATAACCAAAATCCAAGTGGTTAGGAAGAAAAATAAACCAGGAATGGTGCAAGCTCATGCTACAGGCAGACTTTATTGCTTGTGGAGACTCGTGCCGCCGTTGATGCTCTTCTGATACCCTGTGTCAAGCTGTGTGGGAAATGAATCACTGCACTCACAAAGAATGATCCACAACCTGCTCAGGAAAATATTTGGATTTGCCAAGTATCCCCAGCCTCACATCAGATAATCTCCTGTGGAGGATTTATGTGGCAAGGGAATGTTCTAACAGACTCCTAAATTGTGAGCAACATGACTCGACAACTCCCTGTCCTCTCCCCCGGGGCAGCTCTCATCCTATTATTTAGGACTTTGTTTATTTCACAGACTAATCAGTGACAGGTCAGAGACAGTGGAGGGCCATGACTGGTTCATGAAGCCAACGCCACCTAGATCATCACTTTTCCACTTCCTGTCCGCTGTAAATGAGTTCAGGAGATGCTTTATAGGAATTTACACCCTCATAAATCAACACTTTGTCTATGTAACAGTGAGCAACCTTTAAAAAAATAACCTTTGATGTTAAATTAGGCTGTTCATAGTTGGCCTTCACAGAGAAGACATGTCAGTGTGTGGTTCTTTTGGCTTACAAAAACATGCGAGTTGCCATGTATAGGTCAATTTAATGTTCAGAGGCGGCCATATAGCCACATGTGAGTCACGGTGTTGTGGAGCTCTGGTGCTCCTCGCGGGACCCATCTGCTGCAGCTGAAAGTTTGAGTTGCAGTGTTCTTTTCATGGACAGCGTGGAGAGGAGCCCCTGAAAAAAAAGTCAAGCCGCCACTATAGGGGCTTGTAATTAGCAATTAGCGGGCGGGTCCAAGTTTTGCTTTGGTCCAGGCCAAACCCACAAAATGTTCTACTAGTTTATAATACCACTGCCTGAGCAGGGCTCTGGAGGATGAGGTGAAAGCTGTTGAGGTAGAGATTGAATTTATGAGAAGACAGCAAAGCGTGAACTGCTCCCTCTCACAGGGTGGTGCAAAGGTATTCATTGCTCAGAATTTTTTTTGTGCGATCTTCAACCTTTACATATATATTTTAATGCACTGGGTATTAAAACAATATATATTGTTTTAATGCACTGGCTCACAAATTATTATGACAAAATGTGAAGAGGATGGAAAATTATGCATGGTTTCAAAGTTAAAAAGACAAAAATTTAATAAAAGTTAGGCCTGTATGTGTATTCATTCACTCAGTGTACATAAAGTATATAGTAGGTCTTATACATGTAAAGACTTTGGGCATCTTTTGGGCATTATTTTTGCATTAAGGTTCAAACTCAGCTCAACTGGATGGATGTCTGTGAAAAGCAATTTTCAATCCGTGCCTATACTGTAGGTTTAAGTTAGATTCAGCCATAACTGTGACAACCATTCTAATGTTTTGCTTGCTGTATGTTTGTGGTTGTTTCCATGCTGGAAGTTTAACCTGCAAGAGTTCTTCTTCCACTTCTGCCTTATTTAGCACTATCAATCTTCCCGTAAACTCTGACATATATCTCTGTTTCTGCTGAATCAAGGCAACCTCCTCGGCATGACGCTTTTTGTCATGGTTATAAGGGTGCGTTACAGATGTTGATGTGAAAAAGAGTTCAAAGGTGTCCTCTTGAGAAACTCTTCTACATGAGTAGTGGGTCCTTGCAGCTCATCCAAAGCTTTATTGAGCTTATTGGTGGCTTCTCTCATTAATTCTAAACTCTGTTGATTTAACTCATGTACAATGTCTTTGTAGGTTTGCCCTGGTGGCATACCATTCTCAGATGGTGGATTAAATCCTGCTTGATTGTTTTATTTATTTGATCTGCTTTAAACTTTACAATAATCTTACTTTCAAGCAGTGTGGTGTGCTACTTAGTTGTGGCAATGTTTTTTTTCCACTAATGTTCTCAAACAACCTCTGAGCCCCTCACAGATTGGCTGCCCCTTTTTAATAGAGTAAAGTTGATGTATAAAAAAATCATTTTTTTTTTTCTTTTTTACCTCACAGACATTGAAAACCATCCATCGTGTCAGTACCTGCTCACTTTGAGCTGCTTTTTAGTCTTGGTTTATTCCATAAAATTTCAATGACAAAATGAACAAAACAAAAGTTTGAGGGAATGAGTACTTGTGTCTGAAACTGAACATACAGGTGGGCACCTAGAAACAGGGGCAGTGATTCAAGGTAAACAAATCAAATCAAAAATACTCATCCATGCAAATATGCATTCAGCCACATGAACACATGCACGTCTTTCTTGGTACTTCCCACCTCACGTGGCTCAGCCAGGGAGAAAACCCCCATACCTACAAACCAGAAAGAAAAACACTCTTTTTGGATAAAAGTGCTCTGGTCAAGCTTAAGGCCCAGAGTTTTTTGGTAATTATTATTTATAGTCTGCACATTGATAAAGCCCCAACACAAACACTGCAGGGCATCATTCATTTCGGGTGCGGTGATGTTGCTGCACCACAAATTGTTCAGACCACCGGCCAGAGCCAAGAGCCCCATAACTCAATGTCAAAGGGGATGGGGGTGCGAAGAAACCCTGCGCAACACGGGCCTCTTATTTTAAGGATATCCCCTCTAGGAACCAAGTGCATCCTCACAGGGATGACAGCTTAGGACAGAAGGAACACAGGACATCTGAATTTACAGTTAATAAAAGCTGCCGGGTTTGGGCAGCAGCCTTACAGCATGTCAAACTATTTATACTCATGTTACCCCTCTTCCTTGGCTGCTGCATCTCATCGCATGTCACTTACTTTGCCTGCTTCTGGATTATCTGTCTGCTTTGGGCTCTGCACTCTTAGTACCCGATGGAAATCTTTGCATTTCACATTAAATGTAATGGAAGCCAAAACAACTTCTGCAGAGAGATGTAGATGTGGTGCATGACGATGTGAAGTGTGTGTTGATAAAAATGAATATGACACCTGTCTGTCTATAAATCAATTTAACATGCACACTTTTTGTGATTTCTGTTAGTAAATTTCATCGACGTAGGTCCATGTGAATTTAATCACTTAACCAATACATTAGAATGGAATAGCGGGGAATATGCATGCACAGCTGCATTTTCTCTCAGCTAAAACCACTGGAATAAAAGAAATGTGAAACTATGTGAAGGAACTCTTCATGCCTACAACTGTGACTTGGCCTCCCAACCTAATGGTTTCTATTGCTGCATTAGATTAAAACCCCCACAATGCACCATTATCAACTGCATGATTTGACTTAAACATGTGTTATTTCTATCTCATTTTAATAGAAAAGTGTTCATCCAGCACCAAAACCATAAAAGGCTGCAGAATGTCAGGATTTATCATGCAACCGTCATCAGGTTACGCTCACTCTCAAGGCAAGCTTGGGTCGTTACCATTTAACCGTTTACCCAGACCTAGGCCGCCACCTACAGTTGTTGTTATGACAATGCAGTAACTAAACAAGAAAGAGAAAACCAAAAACCTTTATATAATTCATGATACAGAGAGATTTTAAAGGTTTTAGTTGTAAGAGCTGAAAATATCAAATACTTTTTTTGGAAACTTAACACATTTTTGAGTTTTAAAAAACTATATACAGAGACATAACGGAGTGGAAAAAGTATGCTGTCAAAATCCAAAAATTGTAGTGTATTCTGTAATAAAGTTTACAGTGTTATCCACTGTTACAGAGTCTTCTAGTATAACGTTTTAAAAGCTACAAAACAAGTTACTCTTTTTTCCAATTGCAAAATATTGCATAGAAAAATGTAGAGGCCCAACCATTATTTGATTATGTTTATTCATTTGGGAAAATCATCTTTTTATAAGATACAAATAATTCTGCTGAAAATCAAGAAAAGCTGAATGTCAATCTTCCTGTGTCAGGAAATAGCTACAAGAAAACTTTCCTTACCGTAAAGGTATTCTACCGAGAAAACAGTTTAAATGTTTTTATCAAAAACAAGCTTTGGGAAAAAACAAGTTTTAACTTGTCACTACCCAGAATAAGGAGGATGCAAAAGTTTTTTTGAAGACATCGCTGTGGGATGTTTCACATTTCAGTCTGAGATTTTGTAATCAAAGTAGAAGAAGGGGTCAAGCATTACGTACGAAGAGACAACTGAGAAACAGGTATTGGTTGATTTCTTTTTTTTTTTTTTTTGCAATTCTTTGCCAGTGTGGAACTTTAAACTTAATATATTATACCTGCTACCGGTTAAAACTAATTAAACCCTCTTTTGTGAGGAAGGTGTTACACAGGAGCATTTAAAAAGCTAATCAAAGCAACAAATAAAGAATCAAATTTTTTATATTTTTGTTGTTTTTCTTAAAATGCAAAAACCATTCCTTACATTTATCACACTCAAAAACATGGGTTTGGCTCAAAATGTAAATTAAGTCATATCAAAATATTTTTGAAATATTTGTAAGTACTGTTTATTACAGCAATTTAAAATCAAATAAAATTGGTACAACCAAATTAAGATATTACAAAAAATAGAGACTGGAATCGGTCACAGCACCCTGATCTGTGCTATGATTTATTCAAGACTTTTCAAACATCTTTATTTCAGTTGCAAACATATTTGAAGCATTTGTACCTTAGGAATATAGTAATCTACATTTTTTTTATCATGTTTCTCACAATCTGTTTAATTGTAAAATATATTGTGTAATCCTCAGCAGGTCCTACGTTTATTCTTGGTAGGGGTTGTATGGTACTCTGGGCTCCTCCTGGGTGACAAATACCAGGACCTTAGCAAGGTATATGGAGAGAGTGCCATAGCGGCGAAGCCTCAGCTCCAGGTCCAGCTGGAAATCCTGCGGCTTATTGATGAGCTTCGCCACTGACATCACACCACCGGTGGGTGTGCGCTCGGCCTTGAAGAACCCCCCCTCATTGCCATCAGTTAGAGCCACCTGGATGTCATCGCCGGGCATTGTGTGGGAGGGGCCCATGCGGAAGATATTGGTGAAGACGGGAATGTTGGTGGGAAAGGTGAGGTAGTAGTAGGTTATTCTCAAGGGCAAGATCGGGCACTCAACAGAGTCATTGCAAAGCAAGCGCTCACATCGACTGCAAGACCAGAGGGGTGGGGGCAGAGGGAGGGGGAAGGGTTGACAGGGAGAGGAAAAATAGCTGTAAATTTCAATGACCATGCATTGCATGCAGTAATAGAAACATGAGAATTAACAGGGTGATGTCAGATTTTGTACTCCTGATGGGACATGCAGGATGGTCTACTGTTTTCATACAAGGCTGAGGGCACATTCTTAGTTAGAAAAGGGAAAAAGTGGAAGTTAAATAATGTAAATGAGAATTTTATTATTCCTCTCAAAAGGAGAGAACATGCTACAGCCAAATTCTAAAATCATTCAGCATAAAGCAGGATGAGAATGACGGACAATGATTTCATTTGAAATAATTCTGAATAAGGAGTAAATTAAATGGCCTCTTCAAGCCAAACCTGTAGCCTTATACATTGTCCACCTTGTTGTGTGATTCAAATAAGACCTGCTATTTTACTTTTGTTTTAAGACAACAAATGTAACATTAAGATACTCACGTCTGTCCAACACGTCTGTAGTTTTTTGGACAGTCGAAGGACAGGCATCTGAAACTTCCCTGAATGTTGAAGCAGCTCTCATTCTCGGTGCATGTGTGAGTTCCCGCAACACATTCGTCAATATCTAGATTGGCAAAGGGGGCGGTAAAAGTTATTTAAATAGAATTCAAAGATTTCATCAAGAATTGAAAAATAAAAATACAACAAACACAGTAACATTACTGTAGGAGCACCTTACCCTGGCAACCCCGCCCATTCACTGCCAACGTATAGCCGCTGGCCGGACAGGAGCAGTGGAAGCTGCCGGGTGTGTTGTGGCAACGATAGGAGCAAATATGGCCTCCAGTGGGAAGGGCGCATTCGTCTATATCTGCATAAATCACAAAAAAACAAGCAAAAACAAGGGCATATATTGAGAAAACATTTATACTTATTTATTACTGTATGTTTAAACATTAAAACACTTAGAAGTGTCTCTCATAGCATTTGTGGACAACAGGTTTGACCATTTCCCAAAATCAGAAGCATCTGAGTTGGATTACCTTCACAAGTTACTGCATCTATGTCACTGAGCTGGTAACCACGTCGACAGTAACACTGGTAAGAGCCATACACATTGGCACATTCTTGACTGCACGGGTTGCTCTCACACTCATTCAAATCTGCAGAGAGAGAGAAGACCCCACCAGGTCACTGAAATGTCCTCATAAACCACCCAACTTCTGGCTCTCCTCATCAAGATGTGTAAATAGGCCTTTAGATTAAATGATGTTTCATTGCAGAATTATAATTTTTCACCCCAATGATTCAATGCAAATATAACCATTGAGTACATGTATTTAGCAGAGAAAAAAACAGAAGTGATATTTTTAACTAAATTAAAATAAACACAACATATATTAGCCCCTAAAATGTTTATCAAACTTATGTAATCCAGGTCCTTTATGAATGCTTTATACTCATGCTTTAACCCTTAAGTTGATCAGGGTATCTAAGAATTTTAAAAATCATTTTCTAACTAGCTTTAAACTAGAACAAAGTTACATCATAGGGCTCATCCTGTCTCCATAGTAACCATTATTTGAAGCTAAAATCAATTAATTTGGGATGTTCCAATACCTCTATGGCTTTATGGATGTAAAGTTTGAGTCCTGAACTCAACCTTATAGAACAACTTCCCAGATGAAAGGAACTGGATGCCTTATTTCTAAACTATGACCTACTGGACATAGTTTAGGAATAGGACGTTGTTAATGTCCATGTACATATAAAAGTAAACAATTGCATTTTATAATATAGTTCTTTTTTTTAAGCTCACAAAAACTAAAAGTAATCACAAAAGGAAACTCTTCTGGTACTTTAGCAGTACTTGAACTGTGTACTTTCTTCAGATTGAGCTTGTTTGCAATTAACAGTGTGCTTTGGTGAGATGAGCTTTGCGCTAGCAAAGGAACATGTGGAGAAGCACCCTGTACCTTTTTTTTTCCAACTATCACGAACTCCAAACATTTTTCATTCACTTGTTGGGAAACCTTAAATGCACACTTAAAAGTGCCACAACATTGGCACTTCAGATGAACATATATAAAGAAAATCCTGTAAATCTAGTTACCTTTACAATAAAAAACGAACAGATTAATGAGATCATAATCTGTCGTTACTGTTAGGAATACAGTTTGTGTGGGTTGTGTTTTTTGTGTTCTCTCACTCCACCACCAGGTGGCACCTGGTTCTCGTTGGCCCTTTAACACACCTGTGGATGGTTGCCTTATTACCGGAGGACTCTTATGCTGCTGACTGCCACTAACTCGACGCCAGAGTGTTTGCCAGTTTTGGGTACTCTAGCCAAGCTGAGTTTTCCTGAGTCAAACTGACTTTTTGTCTACCTGAGTCTTAACCTTGTTGTTTTTGTCATTGCCTCTCGGCAGGAAGTCATCCTGCTAACTGGATGTTTTGGACCTTCTCCCCGTGGAAGGATAGTCTTGAGTTACAAACTGAGCTGGGGATTCAAACTGGAGGTTTGGATCTACTTTTCCCCAAACAATTGTTTGAGCTTCACACTAAGCAGGGGATTTATCTCCACAAGAACCGTTCAAGTACCAAAGGAAATCTCCTTAACCTGGGTACCAAAGGAAATCACCTTATCCTGGGTAAACCCTGTCCGCCCTCCAACGAGCAAACCAATATCTGGAACAACCCACACCGACTGGATTCAGAGAAAGACACCTTTTCTGGAAACGTGAGTCCTGTTGCTTTTTCTGCCTTTTGCAAATCGTAGCTCAAATTTCCCACTGAGCCTGAACTAAACACAGAAACTTACCCTTTATCTTTTCAATCCCGATTCGCCAGCGTTCAGAGCAGCACTGGACCCATCTCTACTAATTTTCAAAAAAACCTGTTAAACCTTCCCCTGGTTCTTCTGAGTGGTTTTCTGCATGTGGGTCACATCATTGAATAAGATCGTGACACTTACACACCTTGTGTTATTATTTAAGCTTTAGAAGAGTTTATGGGAGACAACCAACCAGGACACCATTGTTGAAAAAAATTATTAAAAGGGCAGACTGGAATTTGTCACAAAGCTTCTGGGAGAATGTTCTATGGACAGATGAGACACAAATGGACTGTTTAACCAAGGCATATCAGCTCGATGTTCACAAAGAGAAAAAGGTAACATCTCAAAAAAACATTGTCCCTACTGCAAAACATGGAGGGGCTTAGTTATGTTCTAGGGTTGCTCTGTTTCAACTTACACAGGGTGTCTGAATCTCTACAAGGCACAACAAAATCTTCAGACTATCAAGGGATTCTAGAGAGAAAAGTGCCTAAATGCCTGGTCTTAGTCGGAGGTCATTGGCCCTCAAAAGGATAATGACCAAAAACAGAAGTTAAAAACACCTAAGGATGGCTAACAGGAAAACACTGGCCTTTTGTGAAGTGGCCTTCAATAAGCCCTGATATAAATCCTATTTAGTATCTTTGGAAGGAGCTCAAACAGGCCCTCTAGAAAAAGGCACCCTTTAAACCTGAGACTGGAGCAGCTTGCTCATGAGGACTGGGGCAAAATACCTTCTGGGAGGTTTGGAAGATAAAGGAATCGTTTGAATGCAGCGATTGCCTGAAAAGCTATAAGCTATCTAGGCCTGCTTTATTTTCATTCTGTTAAAGCATGGTTGAAAAGCTTTGTCTTTTTTTTTGTTCTTTTTGCAAAATTTACATTTATTATTACTTTTTTAATTATTTCTCTGACCTTTTTTTCTTTTTTTTATAATTGTTGAATGAGGGGTACCAGCAATGTTTTTAAATGTGTTTGTCTACATAAACAGTGTATCAGAACAGGCTCACACATTGCATTTTGGCAGAGATTTAACAATAAATTCATCTGCCCAAAAAGGTCAAATGTCGGCTCCACTGAAAGTCAAAAGTCACATCCAGACCTCCTGCGTTATATTAACACACAGCCACGGTGTATATAGTACTTAGCTACATACTATATATAGTATATTGTACATATATTCTGAATATAGATCTAATTTGTCTGCACCTTCAACACCAAGTCAAATTCTTTGTAAGTGCAAACCTGCTTGGCAATAAACTTGTTTCTGAATCTGTCATGAAAAAAGCCTTTTCCTTAGCTTTGGTAAGAAGAACGACATGTCTGCAAAAGTGCAATGCAACAATAATAATTTGAATAATAACCATGTAAATTAAAATGATCTAAACTGAATGGCCTATCAAAGCCACTTTTCCTTAGGCAGATAAAAATAAAGAATATAACTGTATATTCTATCCCTTAATCAAATTCAAATTGTGGGAAAGTTACTGCACGACAACATACATTTCGTCTTCTCCAGCTGCTGTGTATAAAAAATATATATATATATATATATATATTTGTGCGCAGCAGTAGAAACTGTCCAAGGAGAGATATTGACGCTTTTATTTGCGGTTTCAATTTCTGGGGACAAAAAACAACTTAATGTTTCTTTAATGTTTCAGGATATATTTAAAAAATCTAAAAAGTTGTAAAATGCAGTGATAAGTATTAGCTCACCATCACAGTTCCTGCCATCTGCAGCCAGTTTGAAACCTGTGGTGCAGGTACACTTGTAGGACCCCGGGGTATTGTCACATTTATGAGCACATAGCCGTCCAGGGTAATGCCTGCACTCATTAATATCTAAAAGAAAGATTATTATAAAAAGCGTAAGAGTGAAGATAACACCAAGTCTTATTTGCAGGTCTATGCATGTCTTTGGTTCATGCATCAAGATATTTAATTTTGAAGAGCTTACCTTCACAAAGACGAGTGATGCTGTTAAAGTTGTATCCAGTTTCACACTCGCAGCGGTACGAACCCAGTTGGTTGATACAGGCATGACCTTCACAGACTGGTTGAGGTCCTTTACACTCGTCGATATCTTGAGAGATGTGAAGAAATTTAATGAACATCCAGGGTGTTTAAAGTAAGGCCTAAACGGGGTTCACTTCTCTGTCCTACCGATACAGCGCGTGCCATCGTCATTGAGGTGGTAGCCCCGGCCGCAATTCACAGAGTTTCTCTGGCAGCTGTAGGAGCCAACCGTGTTGATGCAGATTTGCCCTCTGTGGCAAGGACTCTTCTCAGTGACGCATTCATTGATATCTGGAAACACAGAAAATGTTAAATTATCTGCTTTCTACATTGTAAAATGCTAATTTTAGGGTAAAGCGAGTAAATAATACTTTACAGTTTGTATTTTTTTTTCTAAATCATTGGATTCATCAAACACTACGGTCAAACTCTTATTGGTAGGTGACCACAAAGTGACTATAAAATGGAATCTTTTCATCTTTACTGTCTTAGCCACTCAAATACACATATGTGGGCCTTAAGAGAATGATATATTTGGTCAGATGGCCATCTGACCAAATATATCACCAATGTGCAGAGCATCAATGCATTATCCCTTATACATTCAGATATTGTACATAAACAGTACATGGTTATTGAGAATTGTAACTGTGAAAAAGTGGATCTCGTCTATGCAAATGATGCGGTTCTGCCGGCTCCCTCCTATTAGGACCTACAGCATGCATTTAGACGTTTACAGTCATGTGCGAAGCACCTAGAATGAGAATCGGCTCCTCAATGTCTGAGGCCATGGTTCTCCACCAGAAAAAGGTGATTGTCCCCTTTAGGTTGGAGGAGAGTTTCTGCCTTAAATGCTCTGTTGTGGTGAAGAGAGAGGTGGGCGAAAAGGTAGCTCCTATCGTCCATACAGGAAAGAAGAAGATCCTGGATACAAGCAGCCAAAACAAGCTCTCTCCCCTGAACCGTCTCACCCTGTCCTTTAAAGATAGAATAGGGTGAAGATCTTAATCATATGCCAGAGGCACGAAGTAGAGCTACTTCTTCTCAACATTGAGAGGAGTCAGCTGAAGTGCCTTGGACATCTTTTTTATTTGCACCCTGGACGCCTCCCTCAGGAGGTGTTCCAAGCACACCCCACTGGGAAGAGGCCCAAGGGACGCCCAAGGATACGCTGGAGGGACTATGTCTCTGGGCTCTCATAGGAGCGCCTCAGGCTTCCTCCATGGAAGGTGGAGGTGGTATCTGGGGAAATTAAAGTATAGGAGTCTCTGCTATACAAACTGAAGGATGTCAAGTTCAAGTAAACTGTATAGCTACTAGGGTTGTCACGATACTAAAGTTTTCAACTCGATACCGATACTAAGTAAAATATTCAATACCCGATGTCATTTTCGATACCACAAGGATAAAAACAAAGACTCCAAAATTCAACAGAAATTTTTTCATTAATAAACAAAATACAATAAATAGATAAATAAATACAATAAACAATATTTTGAGGTTGTATGCTGCGCACAATATTAAGCAAGCTTGATAAAAAACTTACAAAATTAAAATTAAGTTTTCCTTCCTTGGCTATGCTTTCCACACATAACAATGACACTAGCCAAACCGGTTAAAAAACAAAAATAATTCTCAGCAGCTGCACCTGTTATAGAAAAAAGTCTGAAACCGAAAAGTGCACAGAATTATTCAATCACACAGTGTTCAGAAAGTGCATTAATCTCTAATCTGCGCATAAGATGAATGACTGTTTAGGTGCCACTGGTGGTAGCACTAGAGTATTGTATCCGGATAAAACTTTTCAGTATCAATACTTTTTTGAGTATCGATACTTTTGACAACCCTAATAGCTACACAATTTAGTCTTACTTGTCGTTTTTAATTCTGAATTCAAGATGCAAAAGCCAGTTTAAAAGTCCACCTATTTAATCACATGAAAAGAAGAACAAAGATAATAGATTCTAGTTTTCACATAGGATTTGGAATTGATTTCTATTTGCACCCGTTGGTCATAGGACAACAAGAAAGAGATCAGAAATTTGTATCATTAACCCTAAAGAGCCGAAAACACCTAAAGAAGAACAGTAATCTTGGTGGTGTTTTAATTCTTGTTTCCTTGAAACTTTTGAAAGCCTTCTGCATGAACATAGATCATACCTATGCAGTTTCCCAGTGCATCCTGGATAAATCCCTCGCTGCATGTGTTCTTTGGGATACAACGGAATGACCCCTGGGAGTTTTGGCAAACAAACTGCTCCCCACAGTTATGGATACCGTTCTCACACTCATCTATGTCTGGAAGAAGTAGAGGCAGAAATGCTAATTAGGACATTGCATGTAAACACCAGCCAACAGAAGGTATGAAGAAAAGAAGACATTGCATTCAACCTTTGCAGTCGTTGTTTTCAGTAAGTTCATAGCCGGTCCCACAGCTGACCTCTCTAATGCAACGGAACGAGCCCTCGGTGTTGATGCAACGCTCGCCTCCCCGACAGTTACTGGATCCCAACAGGCACTCATTGATGTCTGAGAAACCAAAAGTTTACTAAACATGAGCAATCATATCCTAACAGGACTATTGCTATCCCAGGACTGTCTCTTTCTGTTTCATTAATCCATCAGTATTTGCATTATAATGCTTCATAAATTATCTTAATGTCCAAGTTTAACAAGTTCCTTTACCTTCACATCTCCTCCCATCAGGTTTGAGTTTATATCCTTTCAAACAGGCACAGGTGTCATTCCCAACACAAACGTGAGCGCACTTTTCTGAGAAACAGCAGAAGTTTACTTTAGATAATTTCTTAGCAATGAGAGCATTTGAAATAATAAAGCATATGGGAAGAGAAAATGACATCTTTTTAAAAAAAAAGCCACTTTACCTCTGCATGTAAGGTCTGTCCCAGATGTAGCGTTATTATTGGTCACTGTGGGTCACAGAGAGTAAATATCAATATGTAGTTCATATTCATTAAAAACAATAAAAACAATAAAATAAAAACTACAAAAACAAGGTTAGACTTACTTAGATTTACTTTTTAAGTGTTTGTTTGTGTCTGTGTGTTAGACTAACATGAAGTCATACATTGATCTAAGGCTTTTCCTGCTGGAAAATGTATCTCCAAAACAGCCTTGCATTTTTTGCACCTTCTGACCCTCTTTTTTGTTTGTTTTTTATTTTAAGAACATAAGACATTTAGCCCCATATCTGTTCCCTTCAACTCTGATCTGCAGTAAGTCTAAATCACAATGTTTTTACAATGGATAGGGTATGATCAGGATGTCATGCCGTATTAGAATATATTAGAATATAGAATATATTACATTCAATATTTTGCCTTTTGGCCAAAAAAGGTAAATTTTTGGTCCCATCTAACAAGAACACCTTCTTCTACATGTTGAGCATGTCATGCTTATGCCCAACTTCAAACAGTCAACAGAGTTTTCTTCCTGATGCTTTACCACAATGTGCAGACGTAACTAAGTTTGATATTTCTAACTTTTTACATGAAATCCTCCAGAGAAGCTCAATGTCTTTACATCTTTCTTTCATTTTGTGCATCATAAGCCACTGATTTCAATTCACAGGTGAGAATATGATGAATCAGCTTCTTCCTAAAACTGTTCTATTTCCAAAAATTCCAGATAGATAGATAGACAGACAATATTTGTCCACCAGAGGGCAGCACCTTTGTATTTTGTACAGATTTCCTCTTCCTTTTTTTTCTTTTTCCTTTGTTTTTTTCTTTTTTTATATCATATAGTAATTTCAGTATAAATTATCTGCTTTTACCTACATTTAGACTGTTCTAGTTCTGCTGTCTGGTTGTCTGGAACTCCATCCATACAGCAGGCCCTTGACACCAGGCTGCACTGGTAGCCGATAAACAGGTTGTGGTCGCAGGGTATGTTCAGTTCCTGAGCTGCTTTGCCAAGGAGACAACAGTCACAGCATATCTGTGTAAAAGATAACAAAATAAGTAAAAACGTGGCACCAGGAACTCATGTTCCAGAAGAAGAAAGCCCTGGAATGAAAACAGGAAAGGACAGAAGATAGACCAAGGGCTGATTGTTTAAATGTAGCGAGGACATCTTGTTTAGACTTTGATTATACTTGTAGAAACTTCCAGATGGTCTGTCAGAATGCCTCAAAATAGATAGATGAGATCTAAGAAGATACACCAGCTGACATCCTTCAGAAAGCAAATATCTGGGACAGGAAGCATGTAAGAAACATGCAGGAGATGAGTTGACATGATCCCCTCTGGCTGATGTGTGCTCCGTCTGTGTAGTAGGAGAGTGAGCTTAATGCAGGTTTAGATCTGACAGCTGACACTGAAGAGAGCACAGACAATGGGAGAT